CACAGAAAGGTTCGATGATTTGCCCAAGGCCACATACTTATTGGGTGCTAGATCTTTCAGAGCCTTCAAATGACCCTTTAGAGAAGGAAACAGGCCAAGGGAGGTGAAATAATTTGTCCAAGAACCCATATCCAGTAAATGTTGGACTTGTAATGCAAACCCAGGCTGTGTCTGGTACCGAAGCCACACTCTTAATCACTACATTGTCATGAATGGAAGCTATTAAAATAGAGAATATGTGCATATTTTTCTAAATCCAGCTCTGTAAGACAAAGCATTTTGTGGATTTAAGGGATAGTAAGAACAGCCCTTGTCACAGGATATTGATAGTGAGAGCATGTATTTCCTTGGTAATGCATCACCCAGTATAATGCAGCCAGGACTTTTGTAGAAAGCCACATGGCGAAAGCAGAGACTGAGACAAACAGAGCTAGTTGGTGGAGTGGCAATAGCTGAGTTCTCATGTGACTTTTTCAGGTTACTTCATGACAGCAGCTATACTTCATTTTTCCATGGAGAAAATGTTCTGAGTGAGAAAGCCCCTGGCTCAGCTATCCTTCCTCCTCTTGGCCTAAGATGTTCTAAAATGCTATTCTGATGTCACCAGTCCAAGTTGGTAGACTTGTAAATGTTATCCTAGGTGTGAAGTGTAATGGAGCACGGAGTGTGAGGCTGGGAAGAACAGACTAATTGCCATCGCTTCAGGGATAACTGGCTCCCCAATAGGAACAACATGTGGAGCAGGGAGAGGCAGGTGGTTGTATTGACAAAACCCTTTGACTGTACTCACTTGTCACTGCCAGAGTGTTCATTTGGTGATTGGTTTTTAAAACATAACTTGAGCCCTGGCCGGTTTGGCTCAGCGGTTAGAGCGTCGGCCTGCGGTCCGGAGAGACCCGGGTTCAGTTCCCGCTAAGGGTACTTCGGTTGCAGTTTGTCCCCGGCCCTGGTTGGCCGTGCGGGTGGCAGCCACTTGATGTGTCCCTTCGCGTCGATGTTTCTCTCTCTCTCTCTCCCTCTCTCTCCCTCCCACTCTATCTGTACAAAAAATGGAAAAATATCCTCGGGTGAGGAAAAATAAATAAATAAATAAAACATAACTTGATATTAGTCTTCATATTTGGAATATGATTAATGTTTAATCAGATCATTATAATTCTTTATTCAGCAGTGTAATTTACTGTGCTTTGATGTCTTTCAAACGTTGGTTCTGTTATACCCAAGGACCAGCCTGTACATATGTGTGTGTGTATACTATCTGATTTTATAAGTTCCCTCCAGGTCCATTTCTTCTGTGATGAATAGGTGAATTAAAAGAGAATTAATAGAAATATGGTACATAATAAACTATGAGAAGTCATGCTTTTATTCTAAATATACATACACTATATATCAGGAACTGTGTGTACTAAAAAGTTGTATAAGATGAAATCTCTGTTCTCAAAGGGCTGATTCTACATTTCTTCCATTCAGCAAGTGATCATACTACCAGGGTTCCTAATCCCTTGGTGGTTCCCATGCTTGGCTGATTTTTCTTTTATCAACAGAGCAGCCTGGAAAGAATATTTTTAATCCCAATATAGTGAATTTGAATTTAAGATCTTGACAGCCAGAAATGATAATAATAATAATTCTAACACTGATAATACTAAATTTAAAATGGAGAGAGGTAAGTGGACACACATATAAAGATTCCCAGGAGGTGATATATTCTGGACAAAGTTGTGATATTTGCATGGCTTAGTGACAAGGGAAAAAACTTCAAGAGTCAACTTAACATTTCAAATAGAAGAGTATCAGTTCTTTGGTGATAGGTGGGGGTGAAAGGCTTATGGAAGAAAAATAAAAGGAATAACTTGCATTCCCTACCTTTCTTCCACACAGAAAGTTCTGTTTGATTTGACTATGCATTCTGGGAGAGCAAGAGGCCCTGCTAGTGGATTGAGGGGCAAGAGGAAGACAAATCACTGTTTTTTAAAAGAGCAGAGCAAGCTGAAGAAAAGATGGGGGTGCTGATAACCTCAACAACTGAATAAATAAAGCCCTTTCTCCAGAAAAATGTATGTATAAAATATTTAACTGGCATTAACTATTAACAGTGAATCAATGAAAACATTAAAAATACTTTATGTAGGAAGTTTTTCCTTTAGAAAATATGCTGTTTTAAAACTCAAAATCACTTCATATGTAATCCAGGCAGAAAATGTGGGTCTCTGAAGGGGTGAGTACTATAAGAATGAGGGTTACTGGAAGTGACCTCCAAGTGAATCTCTTATATCACCTCCTGCCAACTCACTATGGTGAGAAGGGTCCAAGTTCAAGAATTTCATGATTAAATGGATTTATAGGCATCAGACTTTTCCAGTAGGACCCAGTATTCCTCTCCTCCCCAATACATGTGTATGGAAGGTGAAGAAAATGAAAGCCATTTGTACCACATTCTGACACCATGTGTCTCCCTTCTCCACTTGGGGGCTCTGATGGGGAGGGAGAGTACCTTCCACCTGGCATTGCCTCTGAGTAGCTTTGTGAACTCCTTTGGACTATTATATTGGTTGGTACTTTGGCTTCTTTGGCTCCCAGCACCAGCTGATGCCCTGAGTTGAGTCCCAGTTGGACAGGCTCTTTTGCCCAGTGCTGTAGCTGTCTCCAGGGCATTGTTCTCGAGACTTCCAACAGGGCAGATTTGTGCAGTTGGCCCATCTGGACAAGATCTATAACAAGTAGAGCTCTGTGTAATAAGCTCATTTCCATAGTCCATCCCCCGCTGCCCCCACTTTCGGGCTGCAGCAGCCTGACACCCCAGCCCTGCCACAGAGAATATCAAAGAGATGCTCTCTGCTTCTTTCAAAAGGGTATTGCTAGTGGCCTCTCATTGATTGGCACTACCTGGGCAGAAATGGGAAAACAGGGACTCTGCCTCCTAATTCAATCTCCTCCCTTAATCCAGTTCTTTAGTTTTCAATCTCCTTGGCATCAGAGCCATCATTAATATCATCAATAAGATTAACTTCTGGCACAGCTATCCTGGTCAGTGCAGAATGCTCTCTTCAAAGTCAAGAGATGGATAAGAGGAGTATCTCAGTGAACAGGAAAGAGCAAACAAGATCGATAGGAAAAAAGTGGGGGAAGCTGAGTTCTTAGTTTGAATATAGGATTTACTTTGGTCACTAGATTTATTGACTTTTAATTTGTAACACCATTTTTAGGAAGAGAGGAAGGGAGGAAGAAAAGAGAGGGATGGATGGAGGGGGAAGGGAGGGAAGGAGGATGAAGAGAGAGAGAGAGAGAGAGAGAGAGAGAGAGAGAGAGAGATTGGACTTACGTAGTTAGTTATTCTAAGTCCAGGGAAATGTCAAGAGGTTTAAGAGATCATTTGATCACTTCTGCCTTCCAGCTGTTAGCCCTGTACTTAAATCTTGCTTTTTTCATTCCTCATAGTTGGGTCATTTCAAAGGACTAAATGTACCAGACCCATGCTTCCTTCCCCATGTCCATGTGGTATGTCAGGCTCAAAATGGATGATTTCACACCCTGGTATTTCTGGTGTGACATTTCTGGTATCTTCAAATCACTGTTGCCCCTCCTCACTGTACAAGGAGAAAGTAAGCAAGAGAAGGGTTAAGGAATAATTCCAAATTACGGCTCTCTAACTTCTATAACTACCACCTTGAGGTTGGCCAAGTCAATGTTTGTCCAAGATAGGGGTCCACTATATGCCAAGTTCCTCCCAGGCAGCTTGAAGCCCACTTTATCCTGAACAAGATTGCATGACATTATTATTTGCTTACTAAGGGGAGGTGAAGGAGCACACTGAAAAGGAGGGGTCCTGGGAAATAAAGATACTTTGGAGAAAAGAACCAAATAAAACCCCAGCCAACAAAAGACTCTCAGAGGGTATTTTCTGTTTTCTACTCCTCCTGGGACCTACTGGCTTGGATTTCACTTTTCTTGAAAGTTTTATAGCATCAGCATTTTTTACACTCTCTAGCAGCTAAACATGCCGTCACCATGCTAGTTAGTTAGGGAATAAAATATTTCTGAGACCTGGGAGTTCAGGTAGGTCTGAAAGGGTGGTTTTTCTGAAAGGCCAAAATTCCTGACCCCATTCTGATAGTGTTCAGCATCTTAGGAGACCTAAAGATCTCTCTGTTGGGTTGTATAGCAATGCCCTACCCCAGCACAGCCCGTGACTATTCCAACCTTACTGAGAGGTGGGGAACCTGTGACCTTGCCTTCCTCCCACAGTTGAGGAAACCTGACTGAGTCATAAAGGACAGCACTTGTGGATGGGACAGAGGGCACAGTAAAGGCCAGGCTCTGGGTGGGAGGTGGCAGGGCAAATGGTGGTGCAGATTAAGAAGACAAATGCCAGAATCTAGTAGCTATGGAGAAATGGAAAACAGAGAGGTTCCACTGCCTTGGCAGGTTTGGCTCAGCAGTTAGAGTGTCAGCCCACTGACTGAAGGGTCTTGGGTTCGATTTCCAGTCAAGGGCACGTACCTGGGTTGCAGATTTGATCCCTGGCCCAGTTGGGGTAATGTCGGAGGCAACCAATTGATGTGTCTCTCTCACATCGATATCTCTATTTCTCTTTCTCCCTCCCCTCTATATAAAAATCAATGGAAAAATATCGTCGGATGAGGATGAACAAAACACACACACACACACACACACACACACACACACACACACACACACATCAGAGAGGCTCCAGCAAGGGAAGAAGATCATCCTGGCTTGAGGACCATGGCCAAAACTTACTCTCATGAGAAGTGGAATAGCATGGAGAAAATCTGGGGTTAGGGTAGACAAACATCTTGTGCAGCCGCCATTGGCATTACATGGTGTGGACCCACATCGTTTTGGGATTGGCTGATGAAATCTGAGTGGGAGATCAGGAAGGATTAACCTTCTGATGGAATCTAATGGAGGAAGAAAGCCTATCCAGGAGGAAGCAGGAGGCCAACAGCTGGACTCTCTAGCCCCCCCCCCCCCATTCACAGCACCTGGTGGATATTTTCTGACCATAGGACTTTATAGAAAACCCAGTAGAAGATGTTGAAGATGAGGAAAGTAAAAGGGAAGACAGCCCGAGAGATGGTGTCAATCCTCTTGGCTTGGTCCACGTAGAGTTTCCATATGGTTTCTCTCTCCCTTAGAAGAGGGGCTGGAGGCTGGAGGCTATAAATGCCAGAACTTTCCATTGGACCTTCGTCTCTTGCCTGCAGGAAGTGGCCCAGGCCATAGCCACGAAAATAGAAGCGACTTTCTCGAATAATGTCTTCCTCCTGGAATTATATGGAAGAAAAGGCAGAATTTGAGGTCACAGCTCTAAGGCTAGAAACCAGGCCACACAAACATCTCACAGGTGAGGCTATGCAGACGAGATGTCTGGGTACACAGGCCCTTTGCATGCTTTTTTTTTTTTTTTTTTTAGTTTCCATTCTCTTTATTTATTTTAAATGTATCTTTATTGTTGAATGTATTATAAATGTTTCCCCTTTTTCCCCCATTGACCCTGTCCTCCCTGTTCTCACTGCCTTCCTGCCTTCCCCATTGGTTACACATATATACATATAAGTTCTTTGATTTATCTCTTCCTGCCACCCTTCCTCTTTCCCTTTGAGGTTCCTCAGTCTAACAACCAATCTGTACTTCTTAATCCCTTCACCTTTTTTGCTCATCCCCCCCTCCCATCTGGCAACCAACAAAAAGTTCTCTATATCTATGGGTCTGTTTCTGTCCTGCTTGTTCATTTTGTTTGTAGAATCAATTGTTAGATGTGTATTTATTGCCATGTTGTTGTTGTTGTTCCTCCTCCTCCTCCTCCTCCTCCTTCTTCTTCACCCTTCAACATTTCATATACTGTAATACTGGTTTGGTGGTGATGAACTCCTTCAGCTTTTTCTTGTCTGAAAAACTCTTTATCTGTCCATCGATTCCAAATGACAGCTTTGCAGGATAGAGTAATCTTGGTTGTAGATCCTTGCTTTTTATCACTTTGAATCTTTCTTGCCACTCCCTCTTGGCCTGCAAAGTTTATTTTGAGAAATTGGCTGACAGTCTTATGGAAGCTCCCTTGTAGGTAACTGCTTTTCTCTTGCTGCTTTTAGATTCTTTCTTTGTCTTTAAACTTTTGCATTTTTATTATGGTGTGTCTTGTGTGGACCTCTTTGGGTTTATCTTGTTTGGGACTCTCTGTGCCTCCTGGACTTGTATGTCTGTTTCCTTTACCAAGTTAGGGAAGTTTTCTGTCTTTATTTCTTAAAATAGATTTTCAATTTCTTGCTCTCTCTCTTTTCCTCTGGCACTCCCGTGATGTGAATGTTGGTACGCTTGAAATTGTCCCAGAAGCTCCTTACTCTATCCTCATTTTTTTTTTTGGGGGGGGGGATTCTTTTTTCTTCTTGATGTTCCAATTGGGTGTTTTTAGCTTTCTTATATTCCAAATTGATGGTTTTCTTCTTGGTTTTACCTACTCTACTATTGATTCCCTGTAAATTATTCTTTATTTCAATTAGTGCATCCTTCATTTCTTACTGGTCATTTTTTATGTTGTTGATGTTCTCACTAAGTTCCTTGAAGTTTTTCATTAATTTCTTTGAAGTTATAAGTTCCTTGAAGTTCTCACTAAGTTCATTGAGCATCCTTATAACCGGTGTTTTGAACTCTGCATCTTTTAGATTGCTTATTTCCATTTCACTTAGTTCTTTTCCTGGGGTTTTGTTCTGTTCATTCATTTGGGACATGTTTCTTTGTCTCCTCATTTTGGCTGCCTCCTTGTGTTTTTTTCTGTGTATTAGGTAGAGTTGTTATGTCTCCTGGCTTCCTAGGGTGGCCTATTGCAGTAGGTGTCTTGTAGGGTCCAGTGGCACAGCCTCCCTGGTCACCCCAGCTGGGCCCTCAAGGTGCACCCCTTGTGTGGACTGTCCATCCTTCTGTTGTAATTGAGTCTTGATTGCTGTTGGAATGTCAATGGGAGGGATTTACTCAGGATGATGAGCTGCAAGGACAGGCTGTGCCCACAGACCACTGACCTCTGACTACTTTGGAGGATTAGCTGTGCAGGGGACCACCACATAAAGGAGGACTTACTTCAGCAGGGCTCTGGTACCCACTGACTCCACTCCTTGAGTGTGTTGCTTGTGGAGATGGTTGGGTGGTGGTGCTTCAACATGGTCTGAAGCTGTCCGTTGGGTGTGCTGGCTCTGGAGCAAGGTCAGCCACTGCCTGTGTTCAAGTTCATGCCACCTAGCATAAGCTACAAAGCGATCTGCAGATGGCTGCTTCTTGTGCTGGGTTTGGAGTTGCCCAGGCTTGGCCAAGCTGTGAATCAAGGCTGGCTGCTTCTAGTGCCAGGCTTGGGGCCACTTAGCAAGAGGTATGGGGCTCCCTGAGGCCAGATGCTGCTTGTTTGAGAGATTTTAGGAAAATCTGAAGGAGGAGCCAAGACAGGCCCAATCCTATGGTAAGATCACTGTAAACAGCTAGGGTGGACTCAAAAGTTGGGTGGGATAGGGCCTCAGGGAATCACAAGTGCAGAGCAAACAGTGTGAGCCAGGTTGCTGGAGTCCCAGATATGGCACCCATCTGCAGGCCCCATGGGGGAAGGGCTCACCAAAGGAACAAAGGCTTCCATCAGCATGTCTGTGTGGCAGAAAGCTGCCTCTCCTGCTCTTGCCCCAGTGCCAAACAACTCAATTCTTCCCTGTATGTCTCTGGTTCCTTTCAAACTGCCTCCCCCATGCTGGAGCCTGGAGGGAGCGAGTCCGAGTAAGTCTGTGTGTGGGTCCTTTAAGATAAACTGCCTGGGTCTCTAGAAGCCTCAGCTTCCTTCAGCCTCAATTCCTGCTGATTTTTATAGCCAGAAGTTATGGGGACTGCTCTTCCTGGTACTAGAGCCCTGAGCTGGGGGGCCTGGTGTGGGACAGGGACCCCTCACACCTCAAAGAGGACCTTCACAGCTGAGGTTTTTCTCCTGATTTTTATGAACCACACATGGGTGTGGGACCAGCTCATCTGCGCCCCTACCCCTCCTATCAGTCTCGATGTGACTTCTTTAATTTTGTAGTTGTAGGACTTACATTCAGCTCCATTTCAGGCGGTTCTGAATGATGGTTGTTCTGTAGTGTAGTTGTAATTTTGATGTGGTTATGGGAGGAGGTGAGTACTGCATTTACCTACACTGCCATCTTGACTGGAAGTGCTGCACACTTTTTTAATGGCCAGAAGACTCCACTGAAAACAGCTAGGGTGGACTCGAAATAGATACTCAGGAGATACATGTATGCTAAGTAGGTATACATGGTATGTATGGTATGTTATGATCCATTTACATTTGCAGATAAGCCCCAAGCTGCTTTTTAAAAATGCGTAACACCATTTAGAGCTATTTAAAACCCAGTGAAGTGCCAACCTACTGCAGAAGGAACATTTCAATGTCAAGTTGTCTGTGATAATGAACAAAATAAACAGAACAATGAAACTTTTAGAAATCACAGCTGAGATTTTTAGACCTGGTGAACTTGAATTCAATCACTTTCAAAAGCTACAGAATTAATTCTCTATGTGCACAGTATCTTTTAAAAATTTGTTTATCTCAACTCAAAGCTGAAAATTCCAAAAATTTTAAATAAGCTAGTGGGTTATCCAAGTTAGGGTAAAGCTGATTACTCTATTGCAGGTACATGTGTTTCTCTGCAAACTAGCCAATTTCTACATAGGGGTCAGTACATCTAGGGTAACATTTGTTGTACAATACACATTCCTTTCATCTACACCACATACATTATGATGGACACATTAACAGTGAGGAAGTAAATTTTATATAAACACTAAATAATGTAGTGGACTATGCAAAGTTCATTCATTTAATCATCAGCTAACAACTTGAAGTAGCTGTAACATAGCTGAGAACCAGGAAGTAAGGAAAGAACTATAGAGATAAACTTAGAGGTAGAGATAGAGAGAAAGATAGAGATAGGGACACAGAGAGAGAGATGGCAGAGAGAGAGAGAGAGAAAGATAGAGAGAGAGAGAGAGCCCTGGCCGGTTTTGTTCAGTGGTTAGAGTGTCAGCCTGTGGACCAGAGAGTCCCAGGTTCAGTTCTCGCTAAGGGCATGTACCTTGGTTGCAGTTTGTCCCTGGCCCTGGTTGGGGTCGTGTGGTGGCAACCAGTCGATGTGTCTCTCCCCCCACTCCCGCTCTATCTGAAGATAAATGCAAAAATGTCCTCCGGTGAGGATAAAAATAAATGAATAAAAAATGAGAGAGAGAGAGAGAGAGAGAGAGAGAGAGAGAGAGAGAGAGAGAGAGAATATGAACCAAAGTTTCTGAGTGATCAATAGAGAGATCTTTACTCATATAAGAGCCCTTAAGACCCCCCACTCAGATCCTGTTTACTCTTAGTTTTTCTACAACTCAAACATGCCTAATTTTATCTGCTTCTAAAGGACACCCTGCCAACAGAAATGATAGTTCACAGCATGGAAATTAGAAGACAAGTAAATATATACCAGAACCTAGAAATACTTCAAAGATGGTTACAGTTTTTAAGAGTATTGATGTTTACAAGAGTAAAAGTTTCAGCTAAGAAATCATCTGAAGTGAAATGCCCCTTTGTGGGATGATGCCAACTACCTTCTTGGTTTGCCCAGGACTGAGGGCTTCCTGAGACTGGGGACTTTCAGTCCTAAAACAGAATAAGATATATGTGTATTGAATGGATGTGACATGGATATAAATATAAAATGTGAATGAAATAGATTTTTATACATTCTGTGCAGTTTGAAGGACATTATAGAGTCCTTATAATGGGACCTTTGCAGCTGTGGTAACACAGTGTAAAGTGGCTTTATAGATGAGAGGTTGGTCTGGCAGGTCCCAGTGACCCTTGATTATTACATCACTAGAAGGCCTAGCCTATCACCAGGCACCAAGGGAAGGCAGGCTCGGGGCAGAGTTTCACTAACAGATCCCATCTCTTCCCCTGCTTTCTTTTTTTGTTGTTGTTGTTTTTTTTGTTTTTTTGTTTTTATCCTCGCCCGAGGACATTTTTCCATTTTTTGTTCAGATAGAGCGGGGGAGAGAGAGAGAGAGAGAGAGAGAGAGAGAGAGAGAGAGAGAGAGAGAGAGACATCGATGTGAAGGGACACATCGAGTGGCTGCCACCCGCACGACCAACCAGGGCCGGGGACAAACTGCAACCGAAGTACGTGCCCTCAGCGGGAACCGAACCCGGGTCTCTACGGACCACAGGCCGACGCTCTAACCACTGAGCCAAACTGGCCAGGGCTCTTCCCTTGCTTTCTATGGGCTCATGGTACAAACTTGGGAAAGAGTATTAGTCTTGTTCACTGCTGTATTCCTAGTGCCTAGCACAGTATCTGGCATCTAGTGGGCACCCAGTGAATATCAGTTGAATAAGTGAAGGGTATGATGAGCCACATGCTTCAAAATATAAGACAAGGAATGGTTTTGTTCACATGAAGCCAGCATCCTCTCAGGGTCTCAAACTGAATAATCTTGCTCAGTTTCAAAATTCTCTACAGAAAGAACAGTTACTCCTTGCACCACCCCTGCACAATGTCCTCATGCCCTCCAGTCTCCAGGAAGAGCAGCACCTTTGACTTAGGGAAGAATCTCTCTTAAGTCTGCCCAACAAGGAGCTTTGCTACCCAATCCCTGGTTTTGCCAGGTTTTGTGGAGATAGTTGCATGTGTGTAGGTCAGAGGCAAGTCACAACTATGGTTGTGCTTTGACCCTGAGTTATTGTAGTGGGGCAACTTAGCTCTCTGCTCAAGGGTATTTACATAACCTCAGTCACCAAAGTCCATGGCTCACCTCACCTGTATTCTCAAATCCATTTCCACATTATTCCTACATTAGAGGCTGTCTTGGATCCATTTTAGAGATGAAGAACCAGAGGCAAACAAAATATCTCCCAAGTAAATGAAAAATAAGGAGGTAAATAAAATGATTTTCTATTTTGCTTTCCAGTTCAGGTTCCTCAGATCCCCTATTCCCCATTGCTCATCTTTAAAAAAAAATTTTTAATGATTATATATAGAGAGGAATGGAGACAGAGAGAGAGAGAGATAGAAACATTGATGAGAGAGAAACATCAACATTGATCAGCTGCCTCCTGCACAGGAATTCCCTGCTAGGAATTGAGCCAGAAACCTGGGCATGTACCCTGACCAGGAATGGAACTGGAGACCTCTTGGTACATGGGGTGATGCTCAACCCACTGAGCCACACTGACTGGCCAGGCCCCATCACTCATCTTGATCTCCTCAGCCCCCAGCTAGAGGATACAAGCATGAAATATATTTGTGAAAAGCTCTGAAAGAGAAAGTTGAATCCTACGGCTGTTTGTTTCTATATATCTAATTATTTCCCCTTTTCTCCAACCACAGTAAATCTAAAGGGAAATATTTGGAAATATTTCCCAGGCTGAAAATGCTAGTTTACATAGGCTAAAATAGAGTAAGCTGTTCTTGGAGTAAAAAAAAAAAAATTAATGGCCCGGCTGGTGTGGCTCAATGGATTGAGTATTGTCCCATGGACTGAGAGGTCTCAGTTCAATTCTCAGTGAGGACACATGCCTGGGTTGCAGGCTGGATTCCCAGTTGGGGGTGTGCAGGAGGCAGCCAATCTATGTTTCTCTCTCACATCCATATTTCTATCGCTCTCTAAAAAATCAATAAAATCATTGTTGTATCACTTGTAGTTGGGGGCCCAAAGATGAGTGGCCTGAAATCCAAGGGAGGGCTGGGGAACTATAGAGGGAATATATTCCAAAACCAATGCACAGTGTGGGAGGTGAGGTGTGGAGATGGGAAAGAGTGATAGGTACTGAATGATAGGTATTGAAGTGAAGAGATTGGAGAATGGGGGAGGGTGCTGGGGAAGGGAAAGAGGCAAGCAGTGTTCTGGGGCCAAGCCTCTGAGAGGACTTGGCAGTATTCTGAAATTCTTTCCATTTCTCAAGGCATTCTGTTGATAATGACAAGGCTTACTCTCTGTCCAGCTTGAAGAGAGCCCTCACCAGTCAGCCTGTAAAGGTTGGTGAACTGGGTTACATGGTGCTGTGTCCAGAGCCTGGTGCTAGGGCTCTTTGATGTTATAAAAACAAGAGAGACAGATCCTACACTTTGATGCTCAGATTAGCTGGGAAGACAAATCAGAAATATATGGGGAAAGGTAGACTATGCTAGACAGTGACATGGAAGAAGACCATCATGCAGTGGAAATGGGTGGTTGAGGAGAAATTAGAGAAGACCAGTATTAAGCCTGGAGCCAGGTGAACAGCTGACTGGCTCCTAGAATACTCCTAACTTGTTCTTGGCTAAGGGTTCCCTGAAAAGCATATGAATGATCTTCCCTCCCTTAAAAGGGCTCATCTCAAACTGAAGACTGCTGCTTCTCCAGCTGGGCCCAGAGAGAGGTTCTAGAAATGAATTAATTCTGCATCAATTTTTCCAGCCTACTCAGTGACTTCCAGGATCACTGCTACCATTCCTCTGGGATAGCAATGGCTTTAGGAAACTTGAAATGGGACATGTTTGGATTTTCAGGCTTTATTTACATTCATAGTAAGCCCAGCCCACTTTTAGGCAGAATTCAGGAGCCTAAGCAGGGCCCAGGCTGCTATTATAACTGTCATACTTGAGCACTGGTTATGACAGGCTCCATTATGAGATCAAATCAACCTGTATAGAAGCAGGAAGGGATAGGCTGTGGACAGTTGTGGGAGGGAGAGGTTCAAGGGAGGTGGTGGGACTACTGTCAACCTGGAGTAGCTCTACATTAACTGCAGCAGTATTCTGTTGCTGGGACACCCACACTGGCAATTAGCTGGCAAAAGGACTCTGGACTCTGGAACTGTTTGGCAGGCAGCCTGCTCTTCTTTTCCAAGGTAGGCATTAAGAAGGCATCAAGATCAAAACTCCTATAAAGATAAGATTTTGGTAGTTGCAGGCAGGTTTCACATAGGGGATAGGGACAGTTAGATTAGAAAAGAGTGCATCCTCTTGCCCTTCTGCCAAGTTTGTATGTTTTCTCTACCCCTCAGCATAGGATAGGAAGGTCTTCTAGGTCTATTGAAGAATGGGTTCTATTCAAGACGATGCAGTTAGGGATGATTCCACTAGAGGGCAAAATTCCCAGGGCTCGACTAAAGGATTCAAGCTGGGCGAGAACTGCGGAATTCCTAAAAACTGCTAGATGAGACAGAAACCCTGCCTTCAGCAGAAAGGAACCTTGGCAAGGGACAGTAGTTTGTGAAACGTATGGTTAGTGTGGACATATGGTAGGAATACCTCAGGAGCTGCCGAAGTGGGAGGTGGGGTGTTAGGAGGAGAGAAGAGCCTTAGTGCTACAGTGGCCCCAACAGGGGGCTCAGATCAACATTTTCCTCCCTCTCTTCCTTTCCCCTCCCCAAAGATCATATGTGCTTTAGAGCCTCAGATTAGGCAGAAAGCAAGGACTCAGAGCTCAAGACAGACCAGAACTCTGTGTGTGATGATTAAGCAATCAGTACGTAAATCAACAAAGACTTTCAGCTATGCTCATGATTGGGCACTTGTTTCTGTGAGAGTGGCCCAGGCACCTCTGTTGCCATGACAATGCACCTAACACTTATTGTTTGGGCTATGGGAGTAAACTGCCTTTGTTGTCATGACAACAAGATCTCTGCTCAGTTTCCTCAGATGATCACTCCATTGTAGAAGATATGGGGTTAACAAACAAGAGTGAGGGAAAACAACTCACACCCAACAACTCTAATGCACCCAATGAAGATCAAGGTGAAAAAATCCAACAGATAGAAGAGGCAAGGGATGGTTTTTCAATTCTAGTTTAGCTGTGAGGACCCTTTTATAATGCTCCCCTAGAAAGACACCAATGCCTGACTCTTAAATTTGTAATCAGTATATAATAACCTGGGGTACCTTTCTCCTCAGTGGAGGGAGAGCCAGGAGCCACCATTACCAATTCTCAAAGCAATCTCATATTGACTAACTTGATAAGGTTCTAATACTGGTTAACATTTTTTTTTTTTTAGTGCTTATGTGCCAGGCTTTGCACATACTCTTTTTTTTTTTTTTAATTTAATCAATTTATTTATTTTTGTTACAGATGTTTCTCCTTTTCCCCCCACTGATTCCCCTCTGCCCCTCCCTCCCCACCCTGTCCCCAGCTTTGTTGTCCATGTCCATTGTTCATGCATACATGCATATAAGTTCTGTGGTTTATCTCTCCCCCACCACCCCCTCTTCTGGGGATTGTTAGTCTGTACCCCACTTCCACGTCTGTGGTACTACCCCATTCCTCAGACTGTTATGTTCATTATATTCCACAAAAAAAGTGTGCACATACTCTTAATCACTCTAGTAGACAGCCCTATAGTCATTAGTGTTCCAGTGGACAGATAAAGAAATGTAATCAAAGTGGTTAAAGTACTTATCTGTGACCACCCTGGGACTAGAATCCAGTGTTCCTGATTGCCGATCTAGTCCTTGCAGCCCTAGATTTGTTCCGGTTTGTGGGAGGAGTGGTAGAGAGAAAGGAGTCCTGAGGAGAAAATAAGTGGGCCTCTCCCTAGTTATACACACCATGAACTGGCGCCTCTGTCTTCTTCGAAGTCTTATGAATTCCTTATGCTGACGGGAGACAAAATTCACAGCAGCATACTCCAGCAGGGCAGCAAACACAAACAGCAGGCACACAGCCATCCAGATGTCGATTGCCTTCACGTAGGATACCTGTAACATCCATCAACAGAGCAGTCAACCTTGCTGGAATCTTTCCATGGCCTATCCAGTGGATTGCCAGCCCATATCAACTGCCTGCTGTTCTTCATTTTTATCCTGAATTTCTTCTTATTTTTTAAGTTTTTTTTTCTTTATTGATGTTAGAGAGAGAGAGGAAGACAGGAGAGGGAGAGATAGAAACATTGATGAGAGAAAACATCGATTGACCGCCTCCTGCATGCCCTCCACTGGGGATTTGGCCCACAACCTGGGCATGTGCCCTGCCTTGACTGGGAATTAAACCAGCGGCCTCTTGGTGCATGGGTTGATGCTCAACCACTGAGCCACACTGACCAGGCTCTTCTGTTTTTTAAAGAAACTTTCCACGATACGTCCCCATTGTCTGAAGTCCTATGTCAAAAAGGTCATTCTTCATGTCTTTGTACCGTCCACCCTCCATTTCTATCTGCCTTTCCTACCTACAGTTATTTTTCTTTCTTATTTTTCTACTTCTGCTTCTGATTCTGCTTCTTATTATTCTTATCTTCTTCTGATTCTTTTTTTCCCAATAAATAGCAACCAACATGAACGCTCCATTTGTTGGCTCTCTTATCTCCTAAGGTTCTTACAGCTGTGGTGGTAATTGGATGGGGTTCATTACACCCCTGTGAGACATGTGAGGACATTTGAAGACTAGAGGAGAAAACAATCTTAGCCAAGATTACCCAGTGAGAAGGCATAATCTTGGGGTTAGAGGTTATGAGCTTTTGATTCAGTGGCACTGCCATTTACCTAGACTGCAGTCTTAGTATCAGACTAAGAATTCCTTTCTTTCCCTCCTGCACACCTGTTCTTTCTTGACCCTGTGGCTTTTCCTGTTGCTCTTTGTGAGAGGCCCTGCTGAGGAATTGAGCTCAGTGGTTAGCCAGAGCCTCATATCCTACAATGGAGAGCAGAACAGGGAAGGGATCCCAAGAGAGTGCTACCCATCCCTGGAAACTTCTCTATGGAAACTTCTCTAATTTCAAGGCACTCTTGGCATTGCCTATCTAGTTCCTAGTGCTGTCTTCTCACTACCTGCCTTGGCAGCCCTTAAGTACTTTTCTATCTTGGTTCCCTTATGAATATTGAACACTCACTTCTCTTGGAACAGGGTTGTGGCTGGTTGGGACAAAGAGAGGGTTCAAAACTCAGGTGCATGAAGTCAGGGTTATGAAGGTTTACCTCCCTGACTAGATTGACTCCCCACATAGCACTCATCCTAGAGGGCTCCCCAATATGATCAGAATTGGTGGCAGACAACCTCTTTCACCAATTCAACCTCTTTCTGTTATGTTGGTCAGTGAACGTACTGCAGACCCTAGGTAAGGAGAAGGTCTCTCTGGATAAACATTCTACCTCCATGGTTCTTAACTTGGGATAACCCATCCCCCCAAGGGCATTTGGCAATATTTGGAGACATTTTTGGTTGCACGATTTTGAGGGTGGTGGTAGCTACTGGCCTCTAGTGGGTAGAGGCCAGGGACACTGGTAAACATCCTACAATGCACAGGTTCCCCAAACCCGATCCCCTTTTCACATACAATAAGGAATTAATTGGCCCCAAATGGCAACAGTGCTAAGGTTGAGAAACTCTGCCCTATCTCTTTTAGGAGCATTCCACTGAGGTGGGTGGTGGTGGTGGGTTGCTAGGCCACCCTGATTAAGCATTCTTTGATGTTTCCATTTTGCCACCTACTACTAAGAGGGCATCCTATTTCATTCACTGTCTCTCAGTCCCACTGTGCTGCCAGGGATGTTTAGTAACTGCTGCAAAGATTAACAATGAGGTAATGATTAGGGAGGTCCACAGAGGGCTTTGGACCATCAGAAGAAAAGGACACCTTAAGCAGCAGGAAGGAAGTCTTGTTAAAGATGAGTATGTCAATAACACATCTGGAATCCATTAACTCACTATCCTAGCTTATCTGAAGGACTGTAGCAATTTCCTAAATGGTTTCCCTGCATTTACACTTGCCACCTCCAATCTATTCTAAAAATGGCAGCTAGAGTTTTGTTTTCAAAGTGTAAATATGATTATATCACTCTGTGCTACCAACCCCTTGTTGGCTCTCCAGTACCCTTACAATACAATCTTTACTTCCCTTAGTATGACATCTTAGTAACCACTGCCTCCTTCTTCAGCTTCATCTCACCCCTTACAATCTATGACCCTGCCATGGCACACTATTTCAGTAGTCTCCCAAAAAGACAATCTCTCTCTGTCTCTCTCTTTTACCTCAATAATTTTTACTTTACTGTTCATTTTGGATACAACATACTCTGGGAAGCCTTTTCTACTCTGGGTTGGTTGCCTGTGTTAAATGTGCCCAGGTTACCCACCGTTAAATACAACTGGCCATTTCCTTCACTAGACTGTGAACTCTTAGATGGCAAGGACTATTTCTGTCATGTCCACTGTTCAATCTCCAGTGCCTAGCTGAGTGCCTGGCACGTAGTGAATATTATTTGAAAGAAAGATTGGATGTATGGATGGATGGATGGATGATTGAACAATGTATTTTTCTCTTCTGGTTTCTGGTTACTCTTTTAGCCCTCCTCGATACTACCTACGCCAGAACATTTAGATTGCAGGATCTCGAGAAAATTGTGTTACTTCTCCAACTACTGTGACCTTAGGTCTAATCTGTCAGTCTCTGGTAGAAACTTCCATTTGGACTTTTCATTCTGCACTGAGCCACCTGCAGTTGTACAGATCAAGAATGGCAAAGAGACAGAGATCAGTGCCTTTGGGAGCCCCCATATTGGCAAAGAAGAAGTGATTTCCTGGGAACATGGGGAATGGCCATCCCAGCTGAGTTCCTTCAAAAAGTGATCCTCTGCTTCTCTCACCCTTCACACTAGAGTTGTATTGGGAATAGGATTGGTGTGGTTTTCAGAAGCCCCTGACCCTGGCCCCACCTCTTCCCTTGGGGCTCCCACTAAATCTAATGTTGCACAAACTCAAGAGTGAGCAGAAGCTCCCTGACTTACTCAGTTCCTTGTTCTGTGGAGCTGGTCAGAGAAACTATTTTTTGTGTGTGTGGTACAAGCCTTCATATTTTACTTACTGGATCATCACCAGCTGCTTTAGCACTAGGTCTTTCTACCCTAACACCTAATAATTATAATAATAGTTAACATTTACTGAGTGGTTGTTATTCAACAAACACTCTTCTGTGTTAATACATTGTCTCATTTATTTCTTGCAATAACTCTCTGGAAGAGGTAATATTCTTATTCTTATTCCCATGTTACAGGAGAGGAGATTGAAAAGTTTAGAAATTTTTCTAATGTCACCATTAGTAAATAAAGCTGGAACTTAAACCCAAATATGCCTGATTCTAATCTCCTTCTCTTAAACACTACTCATGTTCAGATTACCCCCTGTTTAAGTCCCCAGTAAATTTCTTAGGAATAAGCACTAGGGGATGAGAGATCACAGGCCCTGGTTCCCATAAAATCAGAACAAGAGGGAATATGTTCATTGTAAGATTTACAAGGAACTATGTTACTTTTGTTTCCCATGACTTCTCTGTGGCCTAGTACAGTGTCTGGTACATAGTATATGCTCATTAAATATTTATAGAATGAATGGGCTTGCTCCCTGATTTTCTCAGAGACTTTCTGACTTTAAGGACTTTAAAGTGACCTTTAAATTCCATACATGTAGACACGAGGCAGGGAGAACCTAGCCCAGTCCCATCAGCACAAATCTCTCAGCATAATCAAAACATCACCAAACCCCAGATGGTCAGAGTCCACTGACTTTAATCACTGTTTCCTACCTCAACTTCTTCTTACCCCAGAAAAACAAACATTATAACTAGAGCTTTTTGTAATAGTATCTGATTTCTAACAGTAAGAGACAGGTGTCGGTTTAAAATGCTTGTATTTCACCAGGCTGGTTTGGCTCAGTGGACTGAGTGTTGTCCTATGGACTGAGAGGGCCCGGTTCAATTTCCGGTCGAGGCACATGCCGGGTTGTGGGCTCGATCCCCAGTGGGAGGCATGCAGGAGGCAGCCAATCAATATTTATCTCTCATATCAATGTTTCTATCTCTTCCCCCTTACTCTCTCTTTAAAAAATCAATAAAATATTTAAAATTAATAAAATAAATAAATGCTTTTATTTCTTTGTTTCTTGTGGGCCATGACCTTGAGAAGGTCATTCTGTCTTGGGCCATATTATCCTCATCTGTACCATGGGAGAGGGAAACTTTCTACTTGTAAGGGTCTTTTGATCTTGGACATGCTAGTATTTCCTGGTGAAAGTCAAAGTAAGTCAGGAACTTTCTTTACCCATTCCCTAGCCAGACAACATCTGCAGTCCCAGCTTCCACACTGTTACCCATATGTTGTGGAAGAAGAGAATGCAGGCCACTTGCTCTTGCTCAATGGTTCTTCTCCTTAAATCCAAGGAAAATAGTAAGCACAAGGGACCAGGGGATGAATGAAAAATGAAGAGCTCTATGGCAAGCAAGTTCCCTTGCATGTCTTTTCACCTTTGGCAAAGAGGCCCGGGAGCCAGAGCTCTGAGTGGTCATGGTGAGCACAGTGGTGATGCCTAGGCCCACACGGGCAGGGGCAGCATCCATGTTGATCCAGAAGGAGACCCAGGACAGGATGACGATGAGTAGGCTGGGGATGTACATCTGAATCAGATAGTAGCCCATCTGCCGTTCCAGGTGAAACTTTACCTCAATGCAGGTGAATTTCCCTGTGAGGAAAGAAGTGAGGTATGAGGCCCCAGGTCCCCAGCCAGTAGCTGAGCCTGAGAGGCAGGTCTAGGGCAATCTTATCTTTGAGGGCTAGCCTCTGGGTACCTCAGTTGGACCAATAAATGAGCCTTCAAAATGGCCCTAGGGAGTGCTCTCAGAGCAGCCATCAAGGACTTGACCTCCTGCTCCCAGCATTTGAGTGTCCAGCAGAAGACCTTCCCCATGACAGCACAGCAGGAGGATTAAGAGCAGGAGGGCTCCAGAGCCAGACTGCCTGGGTTTGAGTCCTGAACCTTCCATTTACTAGCTATAGTGACCTCATGCAAAACACCTAACCATCTTGAGTTTCTGTTTCCTTTCCTGTAAAACAGAGTAATAATATCAACTTCATCACTGGGTTATTGTGGGAATTAAATGAGATAATGTATTTGAGATGTGGAGCACATAGGTAGCTGGTACTACAATCATTATTAAGAAAGCAAAGAGGTTAGACTCCACTCAAATCTTAGTAGCCTTGCTTGGGCTTGCTGGTACCCTAGAAGCTCTCTAGCAGCAATGATCCACTGAAATAACCACTGCCTGTGTCTTAAGCAAGTGAGAGCAGCAGGATAGCAAATATCTGGAAACAATGTTCAACAGAGACCAATTGTGGACAGTGTGCACAGGATTGGTTCCCATAGTAGAGCATCGGCAGCAGCATTCTAGTCCACCAACAAAAAGTGCATTGTCTCCAGGCACATGTACCAATGCTCTGCCTCCTTTACCCACCATCTTCACTTTGCCCTGCTTCCCACACCCAGAGGCCAAGAAAACAGTAGCTCAGAGCTTCTCCTAGAAGCAGAGGCTCAGGATAACCAAAGCAAAAAGTAGGGGATGTTATGTTATATTCTACTGTTATTTTATTCTGGCCTGGGCTTGCTGTTATCAGGCCTTTCTAATTCCTCAAGGGTAGTAGTTTCATGAATGACTGATTATGACATTGACATGCCGTATGATGCTGTGATCTCCTACTGTTTTCCCCTTAGTCGACCCCACCTCATCTCACTCTGGGCTTCTTGCTATGACATGCCTTTGCTAGGTATCCATATTTTCTTTCCTTCCTTCCTGTTTTTTCTTTGGGGGGGGGTGTTTATTAGCAGTTTTGTTTGTAATGACAAAATTCACACTTGTTTAATACAGAAAAGTGAGAAGCAGAGAAGAAATAATAATATTCATAAGCTGGTATTTATTTACCAAGCCCCTACCAAGTACTCTGACTTTATAAAGTTTGTCTCATTTAAATCCCATAGAAACTCTTTAGGACAGGAAAACTTGCTATTTTCCATTTTACAGATAGAGATACTGAGGCTTGAAGAGATCAAGTTATGTTTCTCAAGGGCACCCAACTAGTAAATGGTGGAGCCAGAATTCAAGCTCCACTCTGAGTTCAAAGTTCTTGCTCTTATCTAAATATATCACACTACTTTAAAAAGATTGTGTGCTATTTCCTTCCAGGATTTTTAACTACACGCTTTTTATTTGTTTCTTTTACCACAATATAATTATTCTGTGTATACAACTTTGAATCTAAGCCTTTTTCACTTGTATTTCCCCATGTTGATATAAGCAACTTGCAAATATCCTACGCATTATGTAATTTATTTAACCTCTGTCCTATTGGTGGGTATTTACAGCAATTCCAAGTTTTTGCTAATATACACGGTGATGCAAGAGCCTTCTTAAGGTCTAAAGTCAATATGATATTAGAATATTTCTTTGTAATAAATTCCAAGGAGTAGGAATTCCTGGATCAACAGGAAAGGAAAAATTTTTTAGCTTCTAGATTAAAGTTTCTCAAACCTGCCCCCCCCCCCACTTGCACCAGAATCCTCAGGATGATTGTTCAAATGCAGATCAGAATCTCTGAGGGGTAGAGCCCAGGAATCAACATTTTAATAGGCTCTCAAGAGGATTACATAGAAATTGCTAGTTTTTTTTCCAATAAAGGTTATACCAATTTCCACTCCCACCAGCATTAAAAAATAATAATAATAGTGGCCCGTTACTCTCTTCACTCTCCTTGCCCTCACACACACAAACACACATATTCATAGGGTGGCGCACCACAGGAGGTACCTAGGATCTCTCCTCTTCATCCTGTGGCCTCTATCTCAGGGTCATAACTCTTGGCAGCCAAATTACCAGGGGAAGTGAGGAAGCAGCGGGGGGCAGATGCTCTGGCAGCCCCTTTGTACTTCCTGGCCCATATTTCATACCTGGGAAGACAAGCCAGTTCAAGAGAGTTGGGCAGTGGTAGCAATAATAGAAGGTGTGGACAAGAAGCTGGCCAGTGTCCTGTGGCCTATACCCTCCAGGTTCAGCACAGCCATTAACTACTCCCAGATGTAGATTCCCCACCTTCCCCATGATGCTGGCCCTATGACAGATGGAAAACTCCTTCCACTCAGTGGCACAGGCCCATTTGCTCTACAGCATGTGACAGGCACAAGAACACGGGCTTTGAAATTAGACCAATCTGAATTTGAAATGTAAGCCAGCCATTTACTAGCTGTGTGATTTGAACAATTGGTTTAACTTCTTAGAACCTCAGTTTGCCCTTTCTGAAAAATGGGGGCTCATAACCCCTACCACAAAGAGATGAAGAATATAAAGCACTTAACACTACATCTGGTACAGGTTGAACCTTCCACAGAGGTTAGCTGCCTTACCCCTTTCCCTCCTATCTGAAGGTCCTCCTGTGATTCACTGCCAGTAAAGGTCCTGGGTTTTTACCTGTGTTGTAGTGCTTGGTACAGTAGCCTAGATCCTTTTCATCTCGCAAGATAAACTGGGGCAGAGTCAGCCCCTCAGCCACTTGGACAGCAGGAGCATCTTCCAGCCACTCAAACACAAGGTCATTCATGGTATAGCCAACTGAAAGTGACAGAGATAGCAGATGGCTACAGATTGTGGGTGATGGGTAGGGGTAGGGTTAGGGTTAGAACTGGCAAGAAAGAACAGATGAGGAGTAAGGCCTGGGTTTTAGGAGCTCCACGCTCATCTTGGAAAGGGAAACCTTTCTGTAGAGGGTACTTTGGTCAGTTGTCTCATAGGTCTATTCTAAGTGGGTAAATCAGATAATTTTCCAGACTCCTCTCCTACCTAGTTCTTAAGCTTTAGAAAGGCCCAAAGAGAAATTATTCTGGAAGACCTAGAAAGCAGATCAAAAAGGTTGGAAAGATGTCAAGGAACCCAGCTGGAAACCTCCTGCCATATCTCAAACCCAGGGGAATAAGCATGTGTATCAACCAAATGTCTCAAGCAGAGCCAGCTTCAGAGCCAGGGCTTCTGCTGCCTCACCCCAGGGAGGAAAGAGCTGTTTATGCCCTGCCAGTCATGCATGGGACATTGTGCACACACACCAAAGACTCTTAGCCAGGATCCCGAACTAAGGAAAATTGAGAGCTAACATCTGAACATGCAAGTTGCTCACAGAGAACTAGCAGTTTGTGAAGGCTCCTGCCACATCTATGACTATATTCACACGTGTCAGGTAAAATGGGAGCAGAAACACCAAGGCTCACAAATGTCCTGAGTAGGGCCTTGACCTGGAGTACCTGTGTGACATTGGGCACGTCACTTTCCCTTCTGTAAAATGCTCTACCCAATTTTTAGAATTGTGAGAGGGTAATGGGAATCTGGTCATGAAAGTGGTTTGTGAACTCTGAAGAGCTGATCACATATGACACATTCTAGCCAATGAAGTCATTACACACTGGAAACAGCTTAACAAGCCTTATTCATGGAGAACTGAGTGGATGTCTGCTGATTTCACAGTCTTACCTCGCCCAGGAGATAGCAAAGGAGTAGACATAGGTGATGGTTCAAACTTGTTGTCCCTTAGCTTCTCTGCACTTGGGGCAGTCCCTGCAGGATGGCCTTAGAGTAGCCCTTAATTGACTTTGCCACCATTGGCACTGTCCTATGTCTAGAACTATCCTCTTCCACCTCTACAAAAATTAGCTGTGTTCATGAGGAATCAGAGTTCAAAGAGTACTCCATCCCTGCCAACTCTGGCAGTTTTACAGGCATCTTGAATGCCTTAACTCAAGAAGAGTTGAGATAGAATTACTTTACTCACTGTGAGAAGGAACTTATCTTTGGGCAGAGGAAGTGTCCCTCAAATGGTCCCTCACAACCAGCACAAACAAGTTTGTACGTAAGGCAGGGCCTTCCCAATCCCCAATCCCATGGGACAACCAAGCCAACAAATTGTGTGGGGATGGGAAAACACACTGAATTGGGTGCTAGCAAGCCCTGGCTTCTAGTCTCATCTGTGCCAAGCATTATATGTGCTTGACAATGTCCTTCCCCACTCTGGGATGCCCCTTTCCTGTCTGGAATACCATGAAATGAAGTTGATTAGCAGGATCCTAGGCCTTGTTCCATGACTCTCTAGGGACACTTACAGCTCTCCAGCTGCATTGTGCAGGTCTGGATGTCCATGGGGAAGTTCTTGAGGTCCATTGGGCAGGACAAAATGAGGGTCAGCCTGGCAGGGACAGTAAGAAAGAAGTGACATTGGTTTACTGGGGCCAAGCACAACACAGGGGACCCTCTTCCACCCTCAGATTCCATCTGGCTTCTTCCCTTTGATCCAAACTCTCCCACTAGGCACACCTAATACTGTAGAGCACATTTCCATTCTTGAAGATGCGCAGTAACTTGTTGTCTGTGGTCACCTCATGGAAGTTGGCCCCTTTCTCATTGGCAAAGAACAGGTCTGGTTTCCATATAGAGTCCAGCATGGAAGGGTCGAGGTCCAGCGAGTCATCAGGATATTCTTGGTAGGCCAGGCGTGGGTCATTCCACTGCTGCCGCAAAAAGACATTTACCCGATAGTCCTGCGAGGGTGCAGAGATGGGTCCATCAGGGGCGGTACTATTACAGGGGCCCAACACATCTTACATGGACAGGAGGGCCATGAGGGGAAAATGCTAGGATCACATCTGAAGAGCAATGGGCACTTTCCACTAGAGAAGGAGCCTGCCTTGGGCTGATATGGCAAAGATGGAAAGGGAAAAGGCATTTATTAAGCACATACTATGTGCTAGGCTCTCTGCTAAGTGCTTTTTTTATGTGCTTCACCTCATTTAAATTTCACACCCACTGTGTGAGGAAGGTGCTGTTATGATACCCACTTTACAGGTGAGGAAGCTGAGACAAAGAGAGATTTAAGTAACCTGCCTAAGGTCACATAGCTATTCAAGGTAGAGTTGGGATTTGAACATAGGTTTTCTGATCCCAAAGTCTGAACTCTGCAGTAAACTACCTTTCAGGTTAGATTATCTGCTGTCTAGGCTAGTCTGCCTTTAGCACTGAAACCGTGGGCTTGGGAAAGTATTCCTCCCAGTGACCAACTTCACACATACCATAGCTTTAGCCGTGACCATGAAACTGGAAGAAGACAGCAGAGGGAGAAAAGGCTTACTATCTGGAGGGCTTCACCCATTCACACTAGAGTGGCAGTGGGGAACAGAGACCTTACCATGGTAGTCTCAGTGACGGAGCCAAAACTGTTGATGAAGATGTTGCAGGTCACATTCACGGGTGGGCCTAAGGGTAGTAAAGCACAGCCATATTGGCAGGGCATTCCAGGTGGCTGGGAAAAGGTTTCAGGACTCCTTCCCTGAGCTTGAGGCCAGAGCACTGCTGGAAGAAGGCAGTGCCAGCTACATAGGCCCAAGGGCAATAGGGAGGAGAAGCTCCTTCTGAGCTGTAAGAGCTAGCCCTGTACCTCCAACTTTCTATCTTTGGGGCAGGTATTAGGGGCTGTCTTGCCATTGTGTCCCCAAAAAGATGAGGAGAGGGAGGGATTTTTATAGGATGAATACTCCTTACCTTTAAAATTGGGTCGAATCCTGGCATCATATCCAGATGTCCGCCCCATAAGCTTGTCAAGAAAATCAGAGGGGGACATGGGCTGGGACTCCTTGGTCCCAGATTTGATTTCCTCTTTTGCCAAAGCCACCCTGGACAGGAGAAATAAAATGTCAGAGACCAGCGTATTCTGCCTTTATCATAGACTCTCTCTTTCCCTGTTTCTAACCACCACTGGCTGGCCTCCCCATCAGGTAGGAGGATGGGAGAGGATGGGTCTCTGGGTGCCCATTCGTAAAATGAGAACAGAAACAGCCACAGATCAACATGACAGCTCACCAGTTAGTCCTGGAAAATGGCTTTCTCATATATTAGATCTTTTTACCCTCATCATTTTCAGTGTGCTGGGGGTGAGGACTAGTGTTTCCATTTTATAGAAGAGAAAACTGAGGCTTCCAAAGGAAGAGGGACTTTTGGGAATGTAAATTGATGCAGTCACTATGGAAAACAATGTAGAGTTTCCACAAAAAATTAAACGTAGAACTACCAAAAGATCCTTCAATTTCACTTCTGAGTATCTATCAAAAGAAAAAAGAAGCACTAATTTGAAAAGATATAGTCACCCTTATGTTTATTGCAGCATTATTTACAATAGCCAAGGTATGGAAGCAACCTAGGTGAACATCGATAGATGAATGGATAAGGAAAATGTAGTACATACATACATCGGAATATTACACAGCAATAAAAAAGAATGAAATCTTGCCATTTGAGATAACATGGATGGACCTAGAGGGTATTATGCTAAGTGAAATAAGTCAGTCGGAGAAAGCGAATAATGCATAATTTCACTTATATGTGGAATATAAAACCAACCAACTAACCAAAAGAGGACTGACTGACTTGCCCCAAATCTCAGAACTGGTGAATGACAGGATCAGGACTCAGACCCAAGGCTCATCCAGTGTTGTCTTTCTGAAGGTGCCTTGAATGCACTCAAAGAAGTGTAACCGCTCACTGGAAATAATGTGGCCATGGCAACATTTTGCCTATCTGGCCTAGCCAAGGATTGGAAGGGTTCAAGGATAATTGTATCCCTGAGAGTTGGTTTCAGTTTCTTGGCCTTTATGCTGAGCCACTTCGGTGCTAAGACCTAGCTTCTGGAGAGGGATGCTTGGCTTCTGGCATTTGCTCTAGCAGGAAGCTGTTTTGAGCTGGACCTCAGTTCAGGGTTGTGGCAACTGCAGGCAGGTAAACATGCTTTGGCAACAAAATAGGTGGGGAAGCAGGGCTCTAGGAACATGGGAAAGCCTCCTAGTAGGGTGGCTATGCTGAGGTCAACTCCCACCTTTTCCTCCTAACAGCTTGATTTTGAGAAAGGAGCCAGTACGCTTCGGCCTAGGTAAGAGGCCAGCCCTTTTTTCCCTTGACAAGTTTCCCTCTAAGAGCAGCAAAGCCCCTTCCACATGCCTGCTTCTCTGCTTACCAGCCAACAGCTAGAGGAACTAGGAGCTCAGCAAAGCCTTGAGGGCAGGGATGGGGCTCAAAGACTGAGCTGAGGCTGGACTCCTGGCTGGGCCCTGTGCCTCCTGCTCCTCCTGCCATCACCACTGCTTCAGGTCTAGAACTAGCTCCCCCACTGCTGCACTGTGGGGCTGGAGGCAGGGTGACTGCTGTTCTTCTGGGTCTGAGTCTCCTTGGAATCTGTGGGCTTTTCTTTCCCAGTAAATCCATGCACCCGCCAGTGATGGATACAATGATAAAAAAAATACCTAAGACACCATGCCAAATGCTTTACTCCCCTTATCTAGCTTAGTTCTCACATCAGTCCTTTCAGTAAGTACGATTATTATCCCCATTATATAGATGAGGAGACTGAAGATCAGCAAAGTGAAGCAACTTGTTTACGATCAGAGAGTTAGTAAATGGTAAAGTCAAGATTCAAACCCAGAGCTATTGACTTCAAAACTAAGTCCATCTACCACAATACTATGATTCAAGCAGGCCAGGTTGGGGTGCCAAGGAACAAGAGTTGGGGAAGATTACTGGCAGCTATATCCTGACCTCCTAAAGTCTTGCCTCCTTGAATTCTTTGAGTGGGAGGAAGCCCTTAACCTGGCCCAGAGGCCACCTTCGCCCCAAGCAGGGGCTGCCAGAGTAGGTGACCTAAGAAGACTGAAAACCCGAGGAGGCTGGTGGTGGCGCCGGAGCAAGCAGAAGTTCATGACTTTGCCACAGGGTGTCCACACCAGCCAGGTGCTGTTCTTGGCCACCGGCCACCTGCCTGCTGGCAGGCCACATAGTTCTGCACCGGGAGCAGCCAGACCCTTGCCACCCTCCTCAGCCCCACTGTCAGTTCATCTCTTCTGCTAGTTACAGCTCTAGAACCCTGGCATAAGCTGTGGCCTTAGCTGTCGTGGGCTCCAATCCCTGTTTTAGCCCCTTTATACAGGGGTTACCTTGCCTGTGGACCTGAGAGCAGAGTCACTGTGTGTAGTCATTGCTTTCTCCCTTTCATTCCTGGAAAGTCACAAATGCTGGCAGGTGGGGAAGGTTGCAGAGCTGAAAATCTTGCTCATGCAAGGCCCTGCAGTGGGGTAGGAAGAGAACTCTGATGTGCTTCTGGATACCTGAGTGACCTTAGACAGGTCACATCCCCTTTCTAGGCCTTAGTTTCCATATGCACAATAAAGGACTTGGACTCAGGACTTCCTAAGGGCTTGCCTTGCTTTAATTGCCCAAGCAGGAATGCTGCTGCTTAAGTTTGAGCCTTGAGGTAGCCTCCCCTGCACCCTGCTGGGTTCCCACTTATGCCTGCATTTTCCTATCAACTCCAGTTGAACTGCCATTCCACTTTGGGCTGCTTTTCACTCTTCAGAAGTTTACCACCCGCTAAATATTGCATCCCTGTCTGACAGCCAGCCAATGTGTCCACAGGCAGTAAGGCAGGAGGCTCCTCAGAGGCGAGCAGTCCTGGTGTGCTCCTTGAATTAAGAGAAAGAGGATGATTGAGTATTGACCCATGCACTAAGAGGTTGCTGGTTGAGTTCCGGGTCAGGGCACATGCCCAGGTTGTGGGTCCAATCCCCAGTGGAGGGCATGCAGGAGGCAGCCAATCGATGTTCTCTCATTGATGTTTCTCTCTCTCTCTCCTTCTCCCTTTCTCTCTCTATAAAGGAAAGAACATTTAAAAACAAAGAAGAGGAGGATGGTACTGTGGTGGCCCTCACCCCCCCTCCACTTTAGGAGGCACCGTTCTTACGAGCAGTCCAGTCCAAGCAACAACCATTTTCTTCCTTGGCACACCCTGTCCACCTAGACTGTCTTCTGGTCTAAAGAGAAAGTGGGAATGGGATAGGGATATTTATAGGGAGCCCAAAGCATGTCTTATCCCCGGAGCCAGGAAATGACTGCCACTTAGTACCTATTCAGGGATAGTAAGCAGCCATGTGCACACCGGAAGGGTGACTGCAGAAAGCCAAAGTTTGGTCAGCCCAGATTCATTCTCATGTGGTTTGGAGCAAACCCTTGCTACTTAAACCTCTTGGATGGGCAGCTGGCAGATGTTCATGTCATTTTTAGGAATCTGAGCAGTGTGTGGCCAAACTGATAGAGGGATAGAATTGAATGGCAGGACAGATGGTCTCTGTTGTGGGGCTTAGTTAGCTACCTAGACCCTCCCCAGGCCCAGAAAGCTCCCACCCATGCAGAAGTGTTCTTACCAGCTCCATGGGCCTTGATCCACTTCATGAAAGGTTCCTGGGTCCTGATTGGGAGAAGGTGTGTCCTCCCCTGGATCCCTCCAGAATGTGGGTTTTTTTTGTAAACTTAGAAGAAACTGTGCCAGATGTCCATGCTGCCCCTGGCCAGAGTTTGCATGCACCTCCTTTCCACCCCCACTCAGCTCACCTGAGGAAGACCTGCCCTGGCAGGGTCCAGAGGAGAAGGAAGGAGAGGGTTGCAGAAACTCGAGTTGTCATTCCGCGGGGACCCTGGAGCCCTTTCTCAGCTTGGTTGCCAAGGTGAGAGGGGATATCCCGTGGGACTGCCGAAAGTACAGAGCTTCCTCCAACTTGGCCAGTTCACAAGGAGCCTGCGGAGCCAGGCTAGGAGTTGTTCTTTCTCTCTCTATCCTCTGCTCTCTTTTTCTCTGCCCTGCTGTTACCAGTAAGGAGCCAGGACTCTTCTCCCACAAATGATCCTGACACAGATAATACTACCGGCTCAGCTCTGCTCTGTGCTCTGGCCAGCCTAGACTCTGGGAGGGCCTCAGCCTGGTGGCAGGAGCTAGGAGAGATTTCCTTTGGGCAGCAACCAGTCTCCAAACCCTGGAGAATCGTGGAGGGGAGGGAGGAGGGAGAGAGGGAGAAAGATGTTTCTTTCCCTCCCACCTCCCCTCAGATGCACCCTCCGAAAGCAGGAATTTAAAGGCACAGTCACTGGCAGCTGGAGTGGGTTTCAGAGCTCATCAGTGTGCTTGGAAGGGGCTGGGGCTGCTGATGCCACTTGGAGAGGGCCCGAAGTATCCTGTCCAGCTTCTAACTCCCCAACTGGAGGAGTATATTAAGGCTGCCCTGCTTTCTGCTACCTGGCAGCTTCCCTTTTACCCTGGAGCTATGCTGGGGCCGACCTGTAAAGTCTTAATGATTTTTATAAAGGGGAAAAGACCTGAGAGGGTTCAGGTGGAGCCACTGGGTATTCTTAAGCTGACAGCTTCAGGTCTGAGAGGAGGCAAGGAGGAGGCGGCTGAGGGTAGGGGCGGTTTTTCTTCAGTCCTCTGGGTGTCAGCGCATGGGATGGAGGATATAGAGGAACTCGGAATTCACCTCATATGTGGTGTGCTTGCCTGTCAGTCTGTCCATTTGTCTAGCTGACTTCCTCATCTTGTTCATCTTTGCAGATGCGCATTCTTTTCCTGCTTTCCTCCCTCCGGTCATCTCTGGTGAGCTTGATCGGCCCTCTGTAGCTCTCAGAATCCCTTTATCCCTGACATCCTTTCTCTAGCCCCATTCCACTGTGGGAAGGGATAGGTAGGTGTCCCTGGCGGGGCCACGGCAGGCCTGTCACACAGCAGGCTCTGCAAGCTTCAGAAGAGTCAAGGGAACCAAGAGCAGTGACCTAGCGGCTGGCAGCCTTTGCCCCTCCCCATTCGCTTACAGCATCCAGGTGCTTCAGCAGCTCCATGCCCTCTGCTGGCTCCTCCCATGCATCATCTAAACCACTCTGGGACTTCCCCAAGTATCTCCCTCTCCCTCTCTTTCTTTTCCTCTATTCTCTTCTTTCTTCTCTCTCTCTGAAGCTTTCCTTTATCTATCCTCTCTCCATCTCCATTTTTCTCCCTGTTTCTTCTCTGTCTCACTTGTGTCTGTCTCCTCCTCCTCCTCTTCTTCTTTTTTTTTTTCTTTTGGTACGTGCCCCTAGTGGGAACCGAACCCGAGACTCTCTGGTCCGCAGGCTGATGCTCCAACCGCTGAGCCAAACCGGCCAGGGCTTCTCCTCTTCTTTTGCTCTCACTTTCTCTCCGTCCCTATTTTCTCTCTCAGTCTCAGGGTCATCTTCATTCTCTCACATTCTCTTCCTAAATTACAACAGTGAAAAGCCAAGGTTTTTCATTTCTTCTTCTTCTTTTTGTTGTTGTTGGTAATCCTCACCCGAGGGTATTTTTCCATTAATCTTTTTTTTTTCTAGACAGAGTGGAATGGAGGGGGAGAGAGAGAGAGAAACATCTGTTTGAGAGAGACACATCAATTGGTTGCCTCCCTCACAACCCCAAGGTGGGGGGGATCAAACCTGCAACCAGGTATTTGCCCTTGACCGGGAATTGAACCCGACACCCTTCAGTTCATGGGCTGACCCTCTAACTGCTGAGCCAAACTGGCCAGAGCTTTCATTTTTTTTTTTTCCCATTGGAAACTCACACACCCACTCTGCTGAGTTCTAAGTGTGTGCTGGGGGGACATATTGGTGCCATTTTTTTTTTATTGATTAATTTTTGTTACAGATGATTCTCCTTTTTTCCCCCAATGATTCCCCCCCTCCCACTCCCCTCCCTGCCCCTTCCCCAGATTGTTGTCCATGTCCACTGTTCATGCATACATGTGTATAAGTTCTGTGGTTCATTCCTCCCCCACCTCCCCACTCCTTAGGGGATTGTCAGTCTGTACCCCGCTTCCGCGTCTCTGGGACTACCCCATTCCTCAAACTGTTATGTTCATTATATTCCACAAATCAGTGAGATCATATGAAATTTGTCTTTCTCTGTTTGGCTTGTTTCACTTAGGATGATACTTTCCAGGTCCCTCCATGTAGTCTCAAAGGATAAGAGATCTTTCTTTCTTACTGCTGTGTAGTACTCCATTGTGTATATGTACCACAGCTTTTTGATCCATTCGTCTACTGATGGGCACTTGGGCTGTTTCCACATCTTAGCGATTGTAAATAGTGCTGCTACAAAGATGGGGGTACATATATTCTTTCTGATTGGTGTTTTATGCTTCTTAGGGTATATTCCTAGAAGTGGGATCACTGGGTCAAATGGAAGATCTATTTTTAATTTTTTGAGGTGACACCATATTGTTTTCCATAGTGGCTGCACCAGTCTGCATTCCCACCAGCAGTGTACTAGAGTCCCCTTTTCTCCACACCCTCGCCAACACTTGTTGTTTGATGATTTGTTGATGGTGGCCATTCTGACAGGTGTGAGGTGATACCCCATTGTTGTTTTGATTTGCATCTCTCTGATGATTAGTGATGATGAGCATTTCTTCATATGTTTCTTAGCCATTTGTATGTCTTGTTTGGAGAAGTGTCTATTTAGTTCCTCTGCCCATTTTTTAATTGGATTCTTTGTCTTCCTTTTGTGGAGTGGTATGAGCACTATATATGTATTGGAAATTAACCCCTTATCTGATATATCATTGGCAATTATGCTCTCCCATACAGTGGGTAGCCTTTCCGTTTTGATGATTGTATCTTTCGCTGTGCAGAAGCTTTTGAGTTTGATGTAGTCCCATGTGTTCATTTTCTCCTTTGTTTCTATTGCCTTAGGTGATGTGTCAGTAAAAATTCTGCTGTGTATGATGTCTGAGATTTTGTTGCCCACAGTCTCCTCTAGGATTTTTATGGATTCATGAGTTACATTTAAGTCTTTTATCCATTTTGAGTTTATTTTGGTGAAGGGTGTAAGTTGATGGTCTAGTTTCATTTTTCGGCAAGTAGCTGTCCAATTTTCCCAGCACCATTTATTAAAGAGGCTGTCCTTATTCCACTCTATGCTCTTGCCACCTTTGTCAAATATTAATTGAGCAAATAGCCTTGGGTCCATTTCTGGGTTCTCTATTCTGTTCCACTGGTCTATATACCTGTTCTTGTGCCAGTACCAGGCTGTTTTGATTATGGTGGCTTTGTAGTATAACCTGAAATCTGGTATTGTGATCCCTCCAACTTTGTTCTTCCATTTCAAGATTGCTGTGGCTATTCGAGGCCTTTTTTGGTTCCATATGGACTTTTGAAGTAATTGTTCTAATTCTGTGAAGTATGCCATTGGTATTTTGATGGGGATTGCGTTGAATCTATATATTGCTTTGGGTAATATGGACATTTTAACGATGTTAATTCTCCCAATCCATGAACAGGGTATGTGCTTCCACTTTTTTATATCTTGCTCTATTTCTTTTTTCAAAGACCTGTAGTTTTCTGCAAATAGGTCCTTTATTTCTTTGGTTAAGTTTATTCCTAGGTATCTTAATTTTTTTACCGGAATGGTAAATGGGATTGTTTGCTTAGTTTCTCTTTCTGTGAGTTCATCATTGGTGTATAAGAATGACATCGATTTCTTGACGTTAATTTTGTATCCTGCTACTTTGCCAAATTCGTTTATTAAGTCTAGTAAGCTTTTGGTGGAGTCTTTGGGCTTTTCTATGTACAGTATCATGTCATCTGCAAATTATGACAATTTCACTTCCTCCTTTCCAATTTGGATCCCTTTTATTTTTTCTTCCTGTCTGATTGCTGTGGCTAAGACTTCCAGTACTATGTTAAATAGGAGTGGCGAAAGTGGGCATCCTTGCCTTGTTCCTGTTCTTAAGGGAATTGCTTTTAGTTTTTGCCCATTGAGTATGATGTTGGCTGTAGGTCTTTCATATATGGCTTTTATTATGTCTAGATATGATCCCTCTATTCCCACACTGCTGAGCGTTTTTATCAGAAATGGATGCTGGATTTTGTCGAAGGCTTTTTCAGCATCTATTGATATTATCGTGTGGTTTTTATTCTTCAATTTATTTATGTGGTGTATCACATTTATGTATTTGCGAATATTGTACCAGCCTTGCATCCCTGGGATGAATCCCACTTGGTCATGGTGGATAATTTTTCTGGTGTATTGCTGGGTTCGATTTGCTAGTATTTTGTTCAGGATTTTGGCGTCTATGTTCATCAGGGATATTGGCCTGTAGTTTTCTTTCTTTGTTGTGTCTTTTTCTGGTTTTGGAGTTAGAATTATGCTGGCTTCATAAAACGAGTTTGGAAGTCTTCCTTCTTCTTGAATTTTTTGAAATAGTTTGAGGAGAATGGGTATTAGTTCTTCTTTGAATGTTCGGTAAAACTCCCCCGTGAAGCCATCCGGGCCTGGGCTTTTGTTTGCTGGAAAAGTCTTGATTACATCTTCAATTTCTTCTGTTGTTATTGTTCTGTTCAAGTTTTCAATCTCTTCCTGGTCCAGTTTTGGGAGACTGTGTGTTTCTAGAAATTTGTCCATTTCGCTTAGATTTTCGAATTTGTTGCCATATAATTGTTCATAGTAGTTGTTAACGATCTTTTGTATTTCTGTGGTGTCAGTTGTTATCTCTCCTCTTTCATTTCTGATTTTATGTATTTGGGTTCTCTCTCTTTGTTTCTTGGTGAGTCTAGCTAAGGGTCCATCAATCTTGTTTATCTTTTCGAAAAACCAGCTCTTTGTTTTATTGATCCTCTGAATTGT